TTGAACTGTTGTATAACAGTGCATCTTAAAGTACAAAGAAAACATTAACTAAAGCTGCCCAGTAAGCTCAATATTTCCTTGTAAAGAAGAATACTGGTCAGTCTTCCAGCTGGAGAGGCAAAACCATGTGGAGAACTCAGACACAAGAATGTGCAAACTTCACACACACAGGCTCTTTCTGCTGTGAACTGCCTTCAAAGAAGTAGCTGCAGTCGACCTCAATGCCCTTGTCTTCCATTTGTCCGTCTTTACCTAAACTGCTATAGCACAGGGACAGTCTGTGTAAAATCCACACCAAGTCTCTCTCCGTTTTCCCATAGGCCAGAGAAGCTGGTTTGGCATGGCTCCAGCACCACGGGCATCCGCCTGACCACTAACTACTGCGAGGCCTGGAGGACAGCGGACATGGCGGTGACGGGTCAGGTTGCCCTGCTGCAGACGGGACGACTGTTAGGGCAGCACGTGCGCGCCTGCTCCAACCACTATGTAGTGCTGTGTATAGAGAACACATATGTGGGCAACATGCATCAAAGGAGGAACTGAGCAAACAAACACACACACATAAACACATGCAGGCATGATCTAAGTAGAAGATGTGACACATGAATGGGAAACACATGCGGGCACATAATGATGTACTTCAGCTCCCACATGCAAACATACCGAGAAACACTCCCACACTAACATGCATTCACATTTAAAGAGGACTTATCATACTCATTTCCAGCTCCATATTTTTATTTTTGGACTGTGCTAGAGTAACTTTGCTTTATTCACAATCCAAAGTAATCCTTATTTATCTTATACTGAGGAAGCACTTCAGTGCAGCCACGCCCCTTCTAAGAAGTTTCTTCTGATTGGCTGCCACTCATAAACACCGAATTCAGAATTCAGTAGCAGGTGGGCGGGACTTTTACACTCACAGTCTGAACTGCGATATGACGAGATCCTCTCAAATTCATTAAAAGGCCCAGAGACTGAACCTTTGGCCTCGTTATTTGGTCATCCTTGTAACACTGTAACAACAAAAATATGATAGAATTAGGCTTAAAAAGGAAGAGCAGTAGGTCCTCTTTAAGTTTTCTTTGTATTGGTTTCATGTTTCACTCGAAGCCGGATTTAAGCCTGCGGGTCTTACATGTCTGTCCGTGTCTAGATTTTCTTAGCCGTCTGCATCAAACAGGCTACAGTTACCATGCATAAATTTGTCTGCAAGACCAAGTGAGAATGAAGGGCTTCAAATTAAAATGAGGTCATAATCATATATGTACTTTATTGGAGATTAAAAAAAAACCTGTCAGTATTTTTTTAAACAGCAGGGGCTGTCAATTCAAATATTAGTTATATTGAAACCGTGCTTTCATTGTGAGCTACGTCTGATGCTTTTAGTGAGCCTGTGCGTCAGCAGCAGGGCAGTGTATGCCACAGTGAGTCAAAATGAACCAATGTGTGTTTGAGTTCACTGGTACCAAAGTTTCCCAAACACATTTGAAGCATGTGGAAACAGCTGTACACACGTCTTAGACTTTAGTCACTAACTAATGACTGATGTGTCACCAGAAAATGGCACGAGTGTTAATTTCTTACATCCGGGGATGAATGACGGACGAATGGGGGATTTGGCAAGCAGGGGAAAAACACTTAACAGACACTTCATTAGATATACTGGTTAAACTAGTCATCAATCTCATGGCATTAACTGTAGACATGGTCAACTGGACTTGAAGTTTAAAACAAACTCCAAAATGTGGAAGAAAGGTGAAAAAAGAAAGAAAGGTTTAAGTCTGAATGTGGCACGGTTGTTGGTATTTCAGAAACTGCTGATCTACTGGATTTTCAGGGTTTATGGAAAATTATGATAGGCAGACACCAGTAACTCAAATAGCTATTTGTTACAAACAAAGGATGTAGAAGAGCATCTCTGAACACATGACATTAAAGCAGATTGGCTACAGCAGCAGAAGACCACACCCTCTGCTACTCCTATTGGCTAAGAACAGGAATCTGAGGCTACAGGTCACACAGGCTCACAGTAGCAGGCTGGAAAAACCTTGCCTTGTCTGATGAGTTTTGATTTCTGCTTCAACATTCAGGTGATAGGGTCACAGGTAATCTCAAACTGATTCTTGAACATGACTGAGTTCACCTGATCCCAATCTGGTAGAGCACCCTAGAAATGTAGAATGGGAGATTCACATCATGGAAATTTGCAGCAGCTCTGCAAAGCAGGGTCCAAACTTGTATTGGCGAAGTGTAACTAACGACGTGGATTTGTTTTCCTTTTGGTCAACTGACTTCCACTGCTGCTGGGACTGAGGTTTACAGCTCTATGAGGATTTAGCTGACGGCACTCTACGATATATAAAAGCAGTGATACTAACAAGGACAATCCTTTTTAAATTCGTCCTTGATCTGTCACAGTGTAGCCTGTCGGATAGCCTTTGTCCTTGTGTTTTCTTCCTTTTTTTAACATTACATTTTAATCTGATATTGAAAACATTAATCTTTTTTTTAAAGCATGATAAGACTACAACAATAAAAAAGTACAGGTGATACTGAAGGCTTCAGCATAGGCTAACTGCACTATGATGCCCCCTGCTGTAAAACCACCAGTTTTGTTTACACCATTTTTTTTTCAAAGCTTAGTCCTACAAATTCGATTTCTTTTGTTCTGCGTCCTTTAATAAAAGTTCACCATTAACACATCTCTTTTGAAGTAACAATATTAGAGTGGACATCAACATTAATATGTACTGTAGCAGGACCTAGCGTGAAAACAGTCAGCTCACATTCAGATTTGCTTGTGTGAGGTTGGAACATGTATGTATATAAATATATATATGTATGTGTGTTGTTCAGGTGTTGTTTATTTTTTACTCTGTAGGTTTTGTATGAAGCACACTAAAAGACAGAAGGCCTCCTCCCACCGCGCTTTCACTGAGGCGTAGCTTGTTTTTCTGTTGTCTGACTTTAATGTCTCTGTTCAAACAAAACTTGAGGTTCTGAGGAAAAAACTGACGGTTTGTACTGACTGACTGGTGCTCACTGAATAAAATGTCACGTGGTGGTTTTTTTTGCTTTTTTTTTAATAAGTTGTGGCTCATTTATGTCCTCCAACATGTGTTCAACAAAATCATCAGATGTCATGCAGAAGAACCAACGAGAACATTGGTAAGCTAGCAAAAAAAAAAACAGCTTTTTATGTAAACTGCTGCATTGTCATTTAGCTTTGAAGAAGTGCATTTTATATTAGGAATCGTACATTTAACCAATTTCTTTCCCCCACAGTTAGCAGTTTGCAGATGCATCACGTATCAGTAGTAGTTCTCAATGAGAGGCTAAAACATGTTCTAACAGTCACAGTAATTAGTAATCAGGAATTTTTAAAATGTTAGCTAATATTACCCTATTAGTCAACATTGTTAGCTAATAGGGTAATGGTCACACCAGTTCAAAAGGCTTGTTGCAGCAAAGCCCCTGAAAGCACCAGACTTGTGTGAATATGAATTCATATTTAATCTTTCATTTATATGAAGTTTAGACAAGAAAAAGGTTGGATGTGCAATTTTTTCTTTTTTGCTAGGAAAACAGGAAATGGGCGCAGAAATGTACTAAATCATCCAAATGTACATCGAAATAACGCAAAAGTAGAGCTTGTGAACACAAGCAGCGCAGCCTGATCTCTCTTAGGCAAGCTTTCTTGTCATTTCAGAAATAGTTCTGTGTTTTGAAGGGCATACCGAAGATCTTTGGATGTTGGCTGACTTTAGTTGGGTTTTCTCTTAGAACCTTGAACTCTGGGTTCTACCCAGCAGTGTGTTTGGGATAACTGTCATGTTGGATCAAAATCTGACTGTATTTTCAGTGTTTATAGTTCCATCAGTTTTAGCAAGATCCCCAGCTCCAAATCATGGTATAGCCTCCACCATGTTTTACAGATGGTTCTACAGTCACAGTTGTACCTCTCTCCTAACCTCCTCCACAAAGATTGACATCCACCAAAAATTTCAAATCTGGATTAATCACTTCATAAGACATGTTGCCACTTCTTTTCAGTCAAACTTTGGTCTAATTTGACATACCACAGGTTCTTCTCTCGGATCTCTTCCCTGTTACCTTTAAAGTTACAGTTAGTTGTAAAACAATGCAAATTACTAAATCGACACATCACTTTTTTGACTCCTGATTTATTGCAAAGTTTTGATATTATTTAAATGTTAAAAAAATAATGTTTACAAAAATATTTTTTATACACAAGCAGTAGAAGAAAGTCAATGCGGTTTTATTTATATAGCCACAAATCACAACAACAGTTACATCAGAGCACTTTATATTGGAAGGTAAAGACGGGACAATATTAGAGAAAACCCTATATCAGACAAACCCCTATGAGCAAGCAGTTGGCAAGAGTGGGAAGGAAAAACTTCCTTTTAACAGGAGGCAGGGTGGCACATACCTCTTCATATGAAAATCCCCTATATGTAAACAGAGTCAACAAAATAGTCAAAAACATGATGGGGGTGTCAAGACATCGCCGGTCTCTCTGATCCTTTTGCCTTGATAGAGATCACGCAGAGATGTTTCAAAGTTTCACACAATCCTTTTATTACCCATTTCCTGGCAGCAGAGGGGCAGTTGCCCCCCTGTAGATGTGCCCCTGGTCAACACATAACAGTCTCAAGTTATTACTCATTAAGAAGGTCCTGGACAATCTCCCCATCTTAAACTTAGAATCACATTTACAAAATGAGACCGAGTCCTTACTGTGGGTCACACCTGAGGGCTTCTGTAGGACTGAGTCAAAGCCTTCTTTGCAACTACAGGTACCACCCTGGTGGCCATTAAGAAAAAAGCAAGTTTCAGGCATTGCCTTCTTTCAATTTAACGAAAAAATAAAATCAAAAAGGAAAAAGCCACCGCCACAGCCATGTCGTAACAAAAGATTCATTTTATTAAATGGTTATGTACAAGACATTCCTGAATCAAAACAGCAAGTCCATAACGTTTCATCTTCTGTTACCTTTACATCTTCTCGTAATCTGAGTCCCTCCCCTCCCCCCCCACCCCACAAAAAACAACAACAAAGGACAAAAAGAAACAAACAAACAAACAAACAAACAGGTGTGCTTCAATTTCCAAAAAGAGTTTTAACCCCCCCTTATTGCACCAGACCCTTACACACTTCAGTCCCAAGGTGGCTATGAGGGTGTCAAAACAAGGACCGGTTGAATACAAAACATGGTCTGGGTAAGTACAATTTAATTTGTCTCTACAGCGGCTTTACCACAAACATTACTGAAGCGATAGTCGAAAAAAAAAAAAAATCAAGATCGTCTATAAAAAGGATGTCCGTAAAATCCATAGTTCAAAAAAGAAAAACCTTTTTAAAAATGGTGAGATTATTTATGTGTGACTATGTAGTGATGCGTGGAAGTGGCTAACTCAGCTGAGAATTTATATCAGATTTAGAAAAGCACCGACCAGGAGCTGAGCTATGTTTCCAAAAGCATCTTAGACACGTGGTTCACTCCACGGACGAGTATGTTTCCTATTATAACTCTACTGCTGTCTTATATTTGGGCTGTGCTGACAGATATAAAGCCGCTCTGAAATGAGACTATATCAGGTCGGACACCTGATCAGGATTCTGAAGCTTAGCTGTCATCAGCTGTGTGAGGCCTGTGCTCTACACAGTTAATAGCAAGCTCCTACAATAATAACACGACTATCACAGTGAAATAAACCTTGAAACAATCACTACAATGTGGGTCGAACAGATATTTGATGAAGACATCGATAAATTTCAAGAGATTCCATATTCACAAGGTGTAAAATTAACACTGTGCACAGATAATTATTAAAGTTGGATAAAAAGGCGACTGTAAACCAAAGAATTTCAATAGTAACTGGCACAGAAATTAGCAGGCTCCTTATTATAAACAAGAGATACAGCCCTAATCAAACATCTTCAGTAGATCACTCCAAAAAATTTAATTTCGACTCAAAAAGAAATCAGGTTAAGATCTTTTTTTTAAAACCTGGATAAAATCCACCCATAATAAGCATAAGATGCTTTTGGAAACTCTTGACTGTAGCAGTGTGAACGTTCCTGCAGGTCCGGCAGAGCCGAAGAGAAGAATCAGACCATTTTCCAACAGCAAAAAGGAACCTCTCTGTAGGTGTGTGAAACCATCTGTGCTGGTGTTAAACAGCTCTGCAGTGGCAAGTGTGTGTGTGTGTGTGTGTGTGTGTGTGTGTGTGTGTGTGTGTTCGAATAATTTGGGATTTCCTCATAGTTCTGCATTTGTGCAGGTGGTGTGAATTTAGTCGTCTTGTTTCTAGGTGCTGTTAACAAAGCATGAAAAGTCTTTAAGAAAAGGAAAAAGAAAAAAAACGATGAGCCTGAAGTAAATAAAAGGCGGTGTGTGAGCAACGATGACCAAACCCCAGAAACAATAAAACATCACCCTTCCAAACAGGATAGAGCTGCTCTACGATGGCATGAATGGCTGTAGCAACAATAGAAGGCCCCGATTTCTGCATAAACTTGTTTAAAAATGTGATGTATGCAATGGGGGCTTCTACCACAGCTACATGTCCCTGAGAACAAGGTCCACGTCACATGTTATTGGGACCTGCACACCATGCTAACAGAGGAGGGTTGAACCTGCTGCACTCAGACGTCTTTTTTCAGTCCATGAAGTCTCATCCAGCAACACCTGGAGTCTGAAAACCTCTCAGCTGGGAAGGAAGACTGAGACCGTCAGGAGTCCAACTCTACAGGCTGTTCACTGTTAATGCCTCCTCAAGGAAATATGAAATGCTCTCAGTGATGCATGTTTTTAGAGTTATGTCAAAGGTCCTCTTGGTCAAAAAAAAAAAAAAAAAAAAGGAAAAGAAAGAAAGAAATCATTCCCTTTTTAAGGCAGCGTCTCACTTCAGCACGAGGTTTTCTTAACCACTCAAAATGAAATGTAGTCACAAGACTGCTTCCAAATCTGCTCCTGTGGAGACACTAATGTTCTCTGCTCGAGCAGGTGAACAAAGCTGACGGTCTATTACTATTGGGGGTTCGTGTGTATGACTTTAGGCATTTCTTTTTGTCTAACATAACACTGTAGTCACCACAATCACTGCTGAGAGCAACATCCAACAAAAGCAACAAACACAAGTAGTTAGAAAAGGCCCCCAGAAGATGTGTCAGGGAGCTGACGGTTGCTCGGGGAAAGTGTGTATTCTGCAGCCTCTTGGTGAGTGGTTGCTGACAGTTGCCAGAGTGAAATTGGCTGCAAACAGGCATAGAGATCACCGGCAGGCTGCTGTGACTTTCCCCGAGCTAACCAGCATGTAGGCCTGCATGACTGAGGTTCAAGACAGGTGGACACAGAGCTGTAACGTGGATAAAACCAGTTAATTTTAGTATAATAAATGATCATGAAAATCAGAACCTCGCTTGTGGTCTGTAGTCTGAGGGGTCGCTTTGGAATGTTTTGTGGCCTCAGCACTGACTGGGCGAGTACAAAGTTAGTGCTAAAAAAAAAAGACGAGCTGTAATAAACCTCCTTTAGTGGGGAACTACGATAATGTGGCACAGACCTCAACTCCTGAGGAGGAGTCTGCAAGTTGAGCAGTGAAGCACATTTCCATGTTTCATTGCTGAAAAATAAAAAGGCTCGTCTGAAGCTGCTCTCGGCTCCGTAATGACTTTCACATCGATGAGAGTTTGATCAGGAATGCTGAGTCAGCCATTCACACACACACACACACACACACACACACACACACACACACACACACACACACACCTCATGATTCTGAGACTTGAGCTGCCTCAAAGTTGACTGCTAGCTTCCTTTGCCGTCTCTTGGAGGCAGAGCTGGGGGTGTGGCCTGTTGCTGGCATGGTTTGCCTAGGTGGTGTATGCAGTGCCGTCGTCGTGGAGTCACCAGAGGAGAGGTCGCAGTTAACAGCTTGTTGGTGGATTTTAACGCTCTGTGGTTCAGTCTGACCTTGCAATTGGCCAGTTGGCTGGTTCTGGGGTTTCTGTGCTTGGTTCTTAGCAACAGTTTGGGCAGCACTGTAAAACTCTCGAGTTTCCTGGTTCCTTTTATTTGCCGACACTCGTTTCTTAGTCACCTGACGAGGTGAAAGATAAACAGAAAGCTGAGTTACCAACCTGGCCTACGTCTGCACAGGAAAAGATAAATGGGAACGCTGTATTAACCTTTTTCCATTAGCACCTCCTGTGGTCGGCTCGACACAGTTTTCAGGGTTTTCTGTTAGTTGGTAGTATCTGGTACCTGGTACTACCAACATAGACTGCATGCCACCAACTGGCTACTCATTGGCGTCAATGAGTCGTGAGGGCACTTCCTTCACAAATATGAAATCTGTAACTTTTGAAAGCCTGCAACGGGAGAAATGGCTACAGAGAAACAACACTGTGGTCCCGAGTCTGACGAAAAGCCACAAATCGAGCAGCAGGTACAACATCGCCTAGACGCCCACCTTTGTTGTATCATCCGTGTTGCATACAAATGGCGTTACAGGACGCTCCGCCATGTTGCTATAATGACCCTAAGCACACTAGGTGATACTCAATTGTAATGGTAAAACAAGTCGAACCGATCCAAGTAGGTCCTTATGGAAAAAGGGCTTATGTGTTACCTGTAAGGGGATGAACTGGTTGTGTGAGCCAATGGGCAGTGTCGTTGCAGGCTGGGGGCGCGCAGCCCCAGGGAAAGTCCCCGGTGGGCCGTAGAATGGCTGGTTTTGGTGGTGCTGAGGAGGCACCGTCATTCCCCAGAGAGGAGCAGGACCGTAACCCTGTGGGGGCAACAGCACACCACCTGGAAAACAAGAGCATACTCCTAAGATTAAAAAAAAGATCATTTTTAAGGCTTAAAAAATTTGCTATGAATGCTGCTACTATTAATTCATCCCCTGACACAAGGGTTCACCACACTGAGGAGCTCTGCATAGGGCGATAATCAAAATCTCATATCCGATATAAGACATTTATCGTCCCGACAACGATATAAAAATTCTGTGAATCTCGGGCAACTTGACGTGTTTCCAGCTGGGCGTCGTGTACCTGGAGTCGAGTGCTACATAAGTTGAAACAGCCGCAGCTTTTTTTGTGAGTATTTATGACATGGCATGCTGCGAGAAAAAGCCTGTTCTGAGGTTTATTTTTGAGCACCTGACGGCTCTTTTTGGCCTCTCGTCCGTAAACAGTCTGCGTACTCTTTCACGTGTTTCAGTTTACTTTGAAAAATCTCAACAGGATCTTCAGCTTTATTGTGAAATGTTTATGTGGAAAATAAACAAGCGGACGGCAGAGCCACGCGATGGCTTTACCATCGTCGTTGCTAAGGACTACGCATTAAACCAGGCGCTAGTCCCTCCGTGGTGTGGTTACATTAGATATAAGAGAAAGAGAGAACTTTAAGAAATTCCACAGTGACCATCAAAACGATGAAAAAATATTGCCGTAAACAGTTTATTTTGCGACACCATGAAACAAACGACAGACATATATGTCGTTATATCGAACAGCCCTAGCTCTCTATGTTTAATCTGGCAGAATTTTACACCAGGTGACCTCGACCCACTACACTATGGAACACCTTAAACTGATGTTTCTAAATTCATTGATGAAACCTTAAAGAAAGACAGACTCACCTTGTTGGTTGAAGACAGCTCCCATGTGGGGAGGTCGTATCTGACCCACTCCTGTGTACAGAGGAGGTGGGAGGGGGAAGCCTGACCCGAGTGAGTTCTACAGATGCACAGAGGGTCAGCAACACATTTAATGTTTATCTCATTGGTTACAAAGTTCAGCCTCTCACACTTGTGAATCAAATATCTGCGTTTGTGTGTATACCAGTCTCTGAAGTGCAAAGAAAGCAGCTTTCTCCTTGGCATCGTGTTCTGACTGGCACTGTGGGCCATGAACCATCAACCCGTTGGACAGTTTCACCTGACACAGCACTAGACCCTGCGTCGGTGTTAATGGAAATGATTCAGAGTGGGGCACTTGCGAAAGTGGGAAACGCAGAGTAGAAAAAAGTGTGACGTAACAGAAACAGAAAATAGAGCGTGTTACCTGTCTGTTGCGCATGAAGCTGAAGTCAGGTGGCGCCATACCTAAAGCCCCACAGATGCAGGCCAGCTCTGACACCTTACTGCCCAGCAGGGTGTTGGCAGAGGCAGCAGGTGCCGGAGAAGGCGACACAGGCGCGTCGCCGTGTGGGACGTTTATTTTTGCAGCTGGAGGGAGAAAGTAATGATCATAAGGAGGAGAACACAGGGAAGAAATTTGCCTGGGATTTAGAAATCACTAAGCTACCGAGTTTCTTTGACGATCGTCTCCTGTTCTGCTGCTGGCCAGCAGGGGGGGTGCTGTTTGACGTCTCTTGAGCAGATTGACTTCCTGTTCCAGTGCTGTCAATTTTAAGCATCTCCTTCAGCACCAGGGTTCCCTTCTATAGCGACAAACCACACACGATCATTTATGCTAAGTGGTTCTTCTAAAACTCAGAGGTTCCTCTTATTTTGGCTTCACCGCATATTTACCATGGCAAAAGACTGTGGGGATAATGGGCCATCTGGCTGGCTGTCACCTCCTTGTGGAGGGGCAGGAGGGGGTGGGGTTTGCTGGTTACCCTTGGAGATTTTTAGATTGGCAATGAGGTCCTCAAATTGTGTTTCAGCCTGAGTAAGAAAAAGTAAAGAAACTGTAAATCATCGTCTTGTTCAGGGTACGAGATTCTGACCAGAGAAAAACCAAAAACAGGCAGAAGTCAAAAGAAGGATTTGTGTTTCTGCACCTTGTTGGCTGTATTGTGTGAGGGAATAAAGGAGCTGACATCTTCATTTTTCTTCAACAGTCTGATGCCAGCAGGTGGGGTCTGTGAACGATACATCATCAATTCTAATCCAGTCCACGCAAATACAACACAGAGCAATTCATGCAAACGCACGAAAACCAAAAATAAAAACTGATGAATTTAACATGATAAACTTAACCAATCGTGCACAACAGAAACAGCTGATGTGTCGACTCACAGATTTGCTGGCGGGTTGGTTCTTCCCCTGCTGGGAATGTCCTTCCTAGAATCCCAAACACTTTTTTAAAACTATTGTTTTAAAAGCGCAATTCAAGAATTAGTAGTGAAATAAGGAACATCACCAGAGCACTCTTTGTATTCTGGTTAAATTCCTATATAAAAACAAAGTTCCTAAGTGCCTATGTCACTTCACTGTTAAATCCTGAAGCAATCACATCAGCATTCATGGAGGAATGTCTGTATCACATCTATAAGGTTCAGTCTGGTTTGCGAAACCATGTGGTTATTTATTTGAAACCATTACAAGTTCACTTGAACTAAAATAAGGACAATACAGTAAATATTTCTCAGCATTACTAGGTTTTCCTTAAAATTCCTGCTGGACTCCTAGGACAGTGAGAGAGAAGTTTTAGAGGAATCTAAAAAGCTGGTGTCTGTTTCACTGAAAACTTACATTGTTGTGCCAGTGAGCAGGAGGCTTGTTAGGAGGCCCTGTGTTCTGCAGAGACTGCCATACATTACTGTACTCCTCTTTGTTCTGGATGGAGAGAACGACATATGTAGAAACAAGTCATGTTGCACACATTGTTGAGAGACTGTAACAGTTAGGCCAAATGGAGCAAAACCTGCTCTTACCCTGACCTGGTGCTTTTGGATGGGACCTTTTGAGGGAGAGCTCCTGTTGCCCTGTGAGGCAGCCTTTGCCACACCATGTTTGTTGTTATGCTACAAATAAAAAGCAGTTGGAACAGTGAAAGAGGAGAAAGAGGAGAAAGAGGAGGGATTTAGGTGAAACTGTGGAAGTTCCAAATCATTTCCACTATTCCAAACTGGGGAATAATTTGTACATGAATCTACTGTGAGCATATTCCACCCTCCTACCTGTGTGGGGATAAAAGGTGAACGAGGAGAGTGGTTCAGGCCTGCCAGCTGCCGGTATGAGCTGAGGTTGCCGCCAGTGGCAGGCTGCGGTTTGACGATGGCGGTGAGTTTGTGGCCAGTGTGATCAACCCGGGCTCCGTGGGAAAGGTTGATCAGGGCGCAGGGAGGGAGGCGGTAACAACGAGAAGACGTACACCTGAGGAAGCACATGAAGAGGCAAAGCAGCTGTGACCGTCTGCTGTAAAGAGGAACACCTTTACTCCAACAGTATCCTGGTATGGACATCGTGTGTGTTCTGTTACAGCCTGACTGTATGATTTTGTCTTTATCCTCTTCTCGTGCTTTATGTAACCGTTTTGTAAAAGACTGCGCACTCTGCAGCTTTTTCTGTCTGCTGTAAAGAAACTGAACACTGAAGTTGACGGTATGACGTAGTAATTCAGTCAAAGAAGAAAAAGTCTTGTCAATTATTGTCAAAGTAACAGCAGGTTTTAATGAAGTTTAGTTAGCCATCTAACACTGATCCATGAGCAGTTCGTTTCAGGGTGACTGTGATGGCAGCGTATAAGACAAGCGAACACTTTTATCCATTCAGAGCTGCTTTGGAGGAGGACAGACTGATGTGATCTGGCCGCTGCCTGTGACATGCTCACACGTGTGTTTGTGTGCAGTGAACAAACTACTTGGGGAATCTGCTTGAACAACCATCTGGAATGTTTGCTTAACAAATCTGCTTTAAACAACTGTTGGGAACCATTAACAGATGATTACTCCTGCCATCCAGGTGAGCGTTCATGTGCAACCTATGACTAATAAAAAACAACAACTAACATTAACAACAGGCAGCAAAGACCTCTCTGCTCTGCCCACTGCAGCTCAGTGGGTAATGGATTAAAGTGTGTGAGCTGGCAGCAAAATCAAATGCCCTCCCATTTCATGTTTGTAAATTGGGAATTGTTTAGAACTGACCATTCCCAACACTAATTACATACAGCAGCACACTCATGGTTACCTGATGTTGAGACCTCCAGCAAATTCTTCATCAAACAGCACTTCATAGAGAACCTCTGCCTCGCGCTCCGCTAAAGAAACAGACACAGATATACTGTTAATCACGCTCTTGTGTGTTACCCTTGATATGTGCAGACTTTGCATATGAGGACAATGACGGCTGACGGGTGTCCTCACCTCCTTTAATGCCAATGATTGTCCCTCTGAGTCCCAGCGGGACGGTGAAGCTCTCCCTGATGTTGATGACTCTGTCAAACAGACGATATTCCGCGTCTGGGTCTGGAACTACACCCTGCTGCTGCTCCAAGGGCTGCACACATATTTTTATTAATGTTATCAACTAATCTGCCATTGATCGTTTAAATTAACTGATTAGGAAAAAAAAAATTAAAAAGAGAGAGAGAGACTGTGTGGCAAACATCCTTAAAATGCCAGGGGTTCAAAAGTAACAGGACATTTGGCTGCTGGCTGTTTCATTTCAAATATTAGTTCACAAACAATCAGGGTGCATTGAGAATGCACACTCACGCATATAACCATAAACCATACAGGATGAGTCTGAAATTTGACCTGCAACCCCGGTCATGATTGCGTGGAGCACAGCACACCCAGCATCATCTCTGTGGCCACTGCACATTTGTAATTCATCACTGAACATCAGTTTCATCCAATCAGCCAAAGTCCACAGTTGCTTCTCTTAAGCCCACTGCAACAGGCTTTTCTTCCAAACACAAGAAATGAGGCTGTTCCAGATCACGGTCACTGCTACAGTTTTCTTGTGTTGCACATGCACCTTTGGTCTGATCCGTCCTGACTTCAGTGTTGCAGTCTGATGACAGACGCAGGACATCCCAACCCACTCCCTTGCTCTCTCTTTTGCTGCCCAGCCTTTGGGCTTAATCTCTTCTTTTGTTAATAAACAACATTTATCAGAGGTTAAACGGGTGACTTGTGTCGCAGCCTTACAAGCCAGCTGTAGCCTGTTTCCCAATGCTTCATCATAAACACTTGTTTGTGCCATTTTCTAAATTCAAATTCAATTCGTCACATACAGTCATACACAGTACGATGTGCAGTGAAATGCTTACACAACTGTTGATCTTATGTGCTGCACAATAATGTTTAACATTTAGTATTTACTGTCATATTCCCATATATCATTGTGATGTTGTTTATTCTATTACTCTTGTTCTCTTCTGCTTGCTCTCTTTTTTCTTTCTCAGCAGGTGATCCAGGTGATTGATATATGCATTTTTTTTCTCTGCCCGTTCTGTTGGTTTTTGTCTTTTGCCCTTCTCCCCCGTCCCTCTTCTCAGCTGTTTCTCTTTCCCTTTCTTTCTCCCCTTCTTTCCTCCAGTCAAGTCTGTCCCGTATTCAGTAAGTGAAAATAAAATAAACAATAAAAGGTGAATCAAATGGACCATTACGGCAAGGCTGGGATGGTCAGTTTGGTAAAGTAAATCCGTTGGGTATCTTTCTTTGCCTTTAGACAACAATTCTGATGCAAAAGAGCCAAACGGGACAGGCAAAAAAAAAAAAAAAAAAAAGAAATGCTTACACAACTGCTCGTGACCTAAAAAAAAAAAAAGACTATGAATAGGAGAGGAAATAAATATGAAAATTAAAATGAAGGGTAAATTTAACTAGGAAAGAATAAAACAAAATATAAAAATTAAAGTTAAAATAAAATAACTACAACAAAATACACAATATAGAAAATATATAAGAATATATGAAGAAATATAGAACAATAACAGCAGCTGTACGAGTAATAAATGGTAATGAAGAAATGTCCAGGGTTGTGCAATCCACATATTTAAGTGACTTGTGATAAAGTGATTTGATTAGATGACCACGCAGTGCAGTGGCCACTAGTGTAAACAATGTCCAGAAAGTCCAGTGTGTGTGTAAGAACCATATGTGTGGGTCAGGACTGTGTGGTGGTGTGATTGAGAGACCGTATCGCCTGTGGGAAGAAGCTCCTCCTCAGTCTCTCTGTGTTGGTCTTCAGGGAGCGGAATCGCTTTCCTGACCTCAGCAGAGAGAACAGTCTGTTGTTGGGATGGCTGAGGTCCTTCACGATCTTCCTGGCCTTGGTCCAGCACCGCCTGCTGTAGATTGAGTGCAGGTCAGGGAGCTCGGTGCGGATGGTGCGCTCAGCTGACCGCACAACCCTCTGTAGAGCTCGTCTGTCCTGCATGGTGCTGTTCCCGAACCAGGTTATGATGTTTCCCGTCAGGATGCTCTCTATGGTTCCTGAGCACCTTGGAGGGCAGTCAGAAGTCTCTCAAGCGTCTGAGGTGGTAGAGACGCTGTCGGGCCTTTTTCACCACGGTGTTGATGTGACAGGACCACGACAGGTCCTGTCCATTTCTTTTTGTTATGCGTTTTCTTTTTCCAGGGCATGAGGCCTTGAATTTTCTGATGTTGGTCATCATCTTGGTCCACAGCATGTTTTCCTTTCATAACCTTCCCATCTGGTTTGTACTTGTTCTGAGTCAGCTGTGTGTAAAATGTTAAGCAACTATGTTGGATTCCTCCTTGAAGCAGCTGCATAATCCTTTTTATTGCTACACAGGAATTTCCAAAAAATATTACATGTGATTGTTGTTTGATATTAAACTGCTTTAAATCATCTGAACTTTGGCTGACAGGTCTTTATGGGGTTACCAGTCCTACGGGGTTTTTTATAACACAACCACAGCCCCTTTCTTTACAGGCACGATGTTGATACGTGCATGCCAAAGGTACTCACCCTGAAGAGGAGGTGAGGCTTGACTGTGACGCGGACTTTCTTGGTGCTCTTCTTCACCTAAGTCGGCGAGAGCGAGGCAGGAATGGAGAAGGTACAGAGGGAGAGGCGTGTGAATGGAAATGCAGTGAATACACAAAGAACTTCTGACTTCTGAAGTCTGTAGCTGTCACCTTGGTCTTCTCCACTGCTTCCTCGATCCTCTCCACGATTGCAACATCCAGCACTTGGAGGTCACAGGATGCCCTGCTGATGGAGCTGACTGGGTGACTTTTTAACCATGAAGTGATTTCTGCTACCTTCTCTGCCCTGTTGGGTTAAAAAAAAAAAAAAAGTCATTTAGTCATTCATTTATTTAATCTTCAACCTTCAGACATTGGTGCGAGAACAAGATGACAACCCCTGGCTCTAAACTCCTTGTCATCACCGGCAGGTGAAGCTTTATGCTGAGAACTTTTACCCTTACTAACCAAAGGTGATCCAGCTGACAAATGAGACACCAAGTGAGAACATATCAGGCAGGATGGTGCTTTAAAGCATCCCCCCCCTTTTTTTTTTTTACTCTCATGGATATCAAAAGATAAAGATGGACTTCATAGCTTATTCAGTGTGAATTTAAACTAGAAATGTATTTTGAAAGAGGACAATTTCACACAGACCTCTCTAAGTGCTTCTTTATGTAGCTAGAGATGTCGCCACCTGATGGCCACAAGAATGAATACAGCTTTTAGACACCTCAGCACCAGCTACACTTTTAAGACCTGTAAGCTACGTCCATCTTTTATATACATCTATGATCCCTAAACAAGTTTTTTCCCAGCAGGATGGAGTGAACGCAACCTTGGCAGGGGACTAAGTAAGGCCAGGGCCCACATGGCTGAAGCGTCCGTTTTACCCATTCTGGTCTTCTCCAGGCCAAATGTCATCTTCATAGAAAACATCATCGTGACTGTTTCTGGCCACGTTGTTGAACACCTCTGAAAATCTACAAAGAAACACAACAGCACCATCATTTGTAAAAGCTTCATTCAATTCATAGGATAACCGAACATTAATACATAAGTTAAAGAACAGCGGTTTTCAAAACGACTCATTTGTTTTACCTGTCCAGGTATTCAGCCAGCAGCTCCTCCACAGCAGCAGAGTAGAGCCACTCTTTTTCAGTTCTCTTGGTGTATCCGGGAACTTCCTCGTTCTTCTTGTTGAACTTGAGGTTCAGGCCAACGTTAGCTCTTTGCTCCCCACAGGGACTGGACACAGTGAAGAAGACTGAAAGCTTAGACAAGGACTGTACCTGAATACGTGACGTGATGCCAACAACAGCTCAACTCACTGCAGATATCCTTGTGGCATTTCTACATAAACACTCACTTCTTCTTAGAGCCTCTACCAATGAAGATGCTTCCAGAGAAGCGGGAGACGAGGTAACCGGTGATGCCGAGACGAGAGGCCAGAACGTATCCAGGACTGTATTTCACGCTGTATTTCTACACGACACACAAAAACGTATAAGGTGAGGGGAGAAAACTCGCAAAACTAAACGTACATATCCACAGAACGACTCCACCAGCTCGTCTTACGTGTTGGTTCTGGATTAAGGGCTCCAGCTGTGGCTCATGTGGCACACTGAAGACCACTCGAATCCGCCCATCTTTGATGACATCTTGGGAATCTTGCACCTGAAAATTTATATTAATATGAATATGGAGATGTGGAGCATTAATCAGATAGACTTTTTAAAAAATGGCTGGATTTCTATACCTGCCATGGTAATTAAGAGACGGTGTGTTTCAGGTCAATTTACAGAGTAACATGAAAGTAAAGTAATGAGTAGTGTAAGAAATTACTTTCTCCTGGGAGAAATTACCGTAATTGTCGGGCTATAAGCCGCTACTTTTTGCACCACCTTTGAACCCTGCAGCTTTTAGTCAGGTGCGGCTTTTCTATGGATTGTCCGTGATTGTTGTCATATCGTAAGAGGATTTGTTTTGTTTGCTCCGCTGTTGTACGGCACTACGTTGCCTGGCGGAAGGGCATGTGATCAGACACACAGTATCGGGGTTCAAGAGTGGTATGTTGGTCACGTGTCCATCCACCAGGCAACGTAGTGCCGTACGAAGTAGCGCGAAAAACAAACTTCAAAGTAGCGCTACGCGTTCAGCGGGAGGCGTGGATGATGAGCGGCGATAAACTTGCGAAAAGCAAGTTATGCTCAACTCCACCGGTGGATTCTGACGGCGTGGAAAAGTGTGAAACATCCACGATCACCAACAGATTTCAAAGGGCTGGACTGCTGCATGATGGAGAGGAGGACACCGCCACGGCCCTTCTGAGGGTGTTCGACTCTGACAACGAGGATTTCTTTGGTTTTGTAAGTGACAACGAAAGAAAGGAGCTGAGAGTGGATGACGAAGCCACCCTGAGCCTGTTCGTATCCGACACTGGAGAAGAGGACTTTGGTGGTTTCAGTGCGCAGGAAGAAGAGAAAGATGGTGAATGACTGACTTTTCTTCTTGTTAAAGCCGTGTCGCTGCACCTGAGCCTGAAAGGTAGTCCGGATCTATTGTTCTGGTGTGCTGTAGGTTACTGTTATGTACTACATGTGCAAATATGTACCCATAACTTGTTTTTCAAAATATTAATAAAAGGGGTGTGTCTCCAAACAGCCATCTCTTTCCTAACAATTCGCTTTGTGCATATTCTCTTACATATGATGAGTCAACATTGAAACACCTGCGGCTTTTAGTCAGGTGCGGCTAATGTATGTACAAAACAGGATTTTCCCTGATTTTAGCTTGTGCGGCTAATATTCAGGTGCGCTTTGTAGTCCGGGAAATACGGTAAGTAACATAATGCATTACCTGTAAGAAAAGGGTTCTGTGTATAATGAGTAATGGCCCCGACACTGATCTCAGCAAAGAGGGGAAATACCTCCAACATGCACAAACATTTGACCCACAGGTCATGAATGCAATGCCTTTGATATGCTGCTTAGTGATGCTGGTGAGTCTCCAAGCTCAGTCAATGAGAATCGATATGAGAACCAATAATGGAATCACTAAGTTCTTATCAATGTTATGTTCATATTGTTTTGCATTACATCATTAAGCTTAAAACAGAAGGTGTTTTTCACAGATCTGTTCTAAACTATATAAATAAGCCTCTTAATTTTTTTGTCTTTTTCCCCTCAGAGTATCGAAAAAATGATTGTGGAAATCAAACTTATCTGACAGTCGCCGATGATATTAATGCACAGGTGACAGCTCGGGGCACAGTGTTTTGTTTCTTCACTTATATTGAATGTGACAGTGTGAAAACACGGACATTATACTCGGATTCTTGGTTTAAATTAATAAAAAGAGTAACTTGGGTAACGAGGGAGTAATCCACAGACTAAGAGAGCAAACAGTGGATAACATACCTCTCCCATGGCACCGTAGTACGGGTTTCCCACCATGAAGACGGTTGTTGTTGGAGGAAAGAGCTCATCTAAGCTCTTGAAGCAGGCCAGAGATGAGCAGAAGGCTTTGATATCCTGAGACCATGAAGATAAGGAAGAAGTGTCTTTAAAATAATATCTATAAACACTTAAAAAAGGAAAAAAAAGGTGATAAAATCAAACCCATGTGCAGTAAACCTAAATTTGCCTAAAACTACTCTGACAATAACCAGAAAGAAACTGAAAGCATGTGTTGGGTTTATTTCAGGGTTTAGTTTCATTAATATGGCTGCACTCCTCAGCTTAAGCAGGTTTTCTTCTATTTTCCTGCAGCATGAAGACCCTGCTGAGAAACACCACAGCCTCAGTGACATATACACTGCTCTAAGAGTCTTTCACCCATTATTCTCAGTTTTCTTCTCGCTATCATGTTTGTGTGCAGGTACCTTAACAACCGCCTGGTAGGCAAAGGGGAGGACCTGTTTGGCCCACTGTTTCTCCAGTTCCACCACACCATTGGCTTTGGGAACGTATTTTCTTCCAGTCAGCAGTTGGCCGTATAAAACCACCTCCGTCTCATTTATCACGATGCCTTTCCTCTTCAAATAACTACGAGAAAGAAAAGCATAAATAACTAAAGAAGCCAAAGAATATGATGGTTCTGGCAAAGAACAGAAGGATTGTGTCAATAATATGAAAGAGTAGAAATGACTGAAGATGCATACAAACTCAAACACTTGCATTATTTTGCTGAGTTTCTTACTATTCAGTGAGTCCTTGGACATCCTTAATCCAGTCCTTCTGCTCCTTGTCAGACAGACAGGTGACTTTGGCGGGAGGAGGAGTGCTCGGCCTGTCATACACTCTTTGGACACCCGGTGGTTCCTCAAGATAAAATCTTCAGAACAAGTTGCAAAAATTCACTTGTAAAGTCACTAAAGTCTCAATATAATATTTTCAGATTTTTCAGTTTCAGATTTTTCTACACATCTACCAGAAAAGTCAGCAGTCATAGCAAAGCCAGCTCTTACTTCGTTTCTCCGTCTGACACTGCAATGATGCGAGCTTCCTCTAGATGAGGCCAGTTGACAAACACAGACTTTCCCAGAACTTGTGCAGCAACATCATCACATGTCTGAAGATAATGACAAGAAAGAAGGAGAGAGGCAGAGACACAGAGGATAAGGAGACTGCCAATGTTCCTAGAATAAGACCAAGAGGTGACTGGGTGTAAAAAGTATTTTATGCAGTTCTTTTAATTGTATAGACAGTGATTCCAAGACTTCCAAGGGACAATTGATCATTTCTAAATAATAAAATGTTGAAGCTTTATTAAACTAGATCTAAAAACATAAACAAAAGCTCACCGTTTCCCCTTCCTGGTTGGGGAGGATATCCAGCAACATGTTCTCCCCTCTGCTACTCTGCTGGAACACGACCACCCCGCCTTTCTTCTTGTAAAACTGAAACGACAGTGAAGGAGCCAGAGCATGAGAGTTTGAGAAAGGGAGATCATCTTATAAAGACTGCTGAATTTACTCAACTTGCTATACTTCTTTTTTCTTCTTCTTAAAGTGGCAGAATTAATTTCAGATTCATACGTTGGTTGTGAGTTAAGACGTATTTAACCAGGTTCGCTCCAACTTTGAACAGTTTAGTAGTAGTTCACTTATGCACATGCCCACCTTGTGTTTGATGTGTTGTAAGGTGGGAAAGCCACAGAAGTACAGAGCTGAGCGGTCAACGGGCTTGCTGACGTGATCTAATGAAACTTGCCAAGCATCCATGGGGATGTGCGCTGTCCTGTGATGATCAACCGCAAAAGGCAATCAGCCACAGACAAATATGACTGTTGAATTTCACCTCAGTAGGACCAAACGCATGAGTTGTTTTCAGAAGCAATGAGGATCGTTAAATGCATCTACCTGACGTGGCAGTGGACGATGTCGGGGAACAGTTGAGGCAGGGGGGAGGCGTAGGCGAAGTCCATTTCCCTGTCGTACGAGTAGACGGCACACTCTGTGTGGCAGTTCCTGGCCTTCTCTTCTTTTGTCAGCTTCCTGTTGCAGGCCTCCATGGCTGCTAATAAGCACCTCTGTTCGATACACACACAACATAAAGTTACACACACTTACAAGTTGTCAAATTTGATTTCGACAACAGACCTGTGGCATTTCTTCATTTCGAATTGTGTGTTTACCTCATCTATGAATGGAATGAGCACCACAGCCTCCCACTCCTGCTGCTTGCCATTCAGGTCAGTTTTAAAGTCAAGAGGGTAGTACTCAATAATAGCTGAACTTTCACTAGTCATCAGATGCTGAAACATAACAAAATACAGTATTACGATCCCCTGTATACTTCCTGTGCTAATGTTAAAACAATTTCTATATTAAATTATATCTTTATTTCTTAGAGTACATCTTGTGCATTTTATAGGAGTGAACTTGGATTTGCATTTGTTACCCTGTAACACTCGGGCAGCAGTTCCATGCTGGCAGCAGGCAGGACTGCCAACAGCTGCTGGAAGGGCATGAAGGGCTGTCCATGCTCAAAGGTCAGCTTTAACCCAGATACATTCCTGATGTCTGACAGGTAGGGAGCGTAGTGGTAGGGGTAGTACCTGCAGAGATAACACATAATACTCAACGACTGCTTTAAAAATGGAGCGCCTTCAATATAGAGGTTTAAAGAAGGAAATCATTTGCTTATTGTTCTTCTCCCCAAAGCAAATCAATCAATCCACTTTTTCTGTGAAATAACTTTTATTAGACAGTAAAGGTTCAGAAACCCTCATTAAAGCCTGCTGTGTAGAAATATGTCGAAATTTGAGCCTCTCTTTCAATCCTCCCACATTTCTGTGAGACTGTTAATGAGCTGAATTCTCCAATAACAGAAAGAGAAAGATCAGGGAGTAAATTACACAGAAGAAAGAAGCACTCACCAGCTCCAGGACTGAACTCCATGGTAATAGTAGTGGAGAATCCACTGGATACCTTCCACATAACACTTGGCTTGGTTGGCTAGAAACTCACTGCAAATGGAAGAGTGAAAACATAGTTACAAAGTGCAAGCTGCTGTGATGAAGGGCACTGTTAACATTTAGCCAAGTCACTTCCCTACCAATGGGATCATTTAAAAAAGGAAACTAGTAAAAGGGCATCACACTGCTGGGAAACAGCAACACACACGCACACAGACAGACACACAAGCATGTCTATTCTAACTGCTGATAAGGGAGAAAAACAGATTTTGTCAGTCTTAATAGTTTTAGCCTTTAAAAGGTAGGTAAAGGCTGCTGTATAACATCTTCAAGTGCACCTATTATGATGTTGATTTTTCGGTCATAGATGAGCATTGTTCCGATGGTGGACGCCTGAACCCTGTGAGCCAAAAGCTCCAAGTCCAAGAACAATGTTTACCCTTTAATATTTGGTGGACCTGTTTCCAGCAGTTATGATCACTACATTATTTGTGGTTAAACTAAATGATCTGCTGCAGCTTTGTGTGTGTTCATCTTTAAGTCAAGAGCACAGTGTTTCGCTATACTCGGATGTTGATTCATTACATAAGTGATGTGACTAACACACAATGTGTTTATGAATACATTTCATTCCACCCGGCCTGTTGCCACTTGGTCTTGCTGCACCTAGAGCAAAACACAATAGCAGGTGCACGTAGAGACACCAATACAACCTTGTGCCAAGCCCTACTCCTTTGCATGATAAACAGAGCCTGTTATCTTTGTTCCCAACCTGCTGACCAATCATTTATCTGCGTTATTGAACACTGGTCATTCTAACTTCACTCTGTCTCAGCCAGTCACTGAACGAAGATACAACAAACAAAGAGGTGAAGTGAAACTAAGAGTTAAAACAATGAAAAGTGTCAAACTTCTGTCCCAAACATTTTTAGCTTTCTTCTTCCCATAATTTGCTTTTTGTATGCGTTTGTATAAGTTCACTCACTCAGACACCACGTCCACGCCGATCTTGCTCATGTAGTATGTGCGTTTGTACTGTCTGAACTCTGTTTCAAAGATATCATCCTCCTCCTCTTCATCATCTGCTGCCGCTGCTGCTTTTTCCTCTCCGGTGACTTTCTCTGATGTAGTCAGGGAAGCCAGACAGAGAGCAGAATCCTACAGATATTTTTTTTAAAAGTCAATCACTGGAAAGAAACAGACATGAAAACAATGCTGAAAGACACAATGCATATTTCCAGTGCTGCGTCCCTACCTCGTTCTTTCTGGCGTCTTTGCTGGCAGCTTCCTTCTCAGCTGCCAGTCCAGCAGCTTCATTCAGATATTTGTTACCAACTTTGCTTTCAAACCACTTCAAATCCACAAAGACCTCATTAAAATGTTCCCGGTCAAACTGGCAAGACATGGGGGAAAAAAAAGTACATTTTGGCAGAATACATTTGTTTCATAGCAAACGACATCAATCAGTATACGGGACTTGATCTTAAAATGAATGACCCTTAAATAGAAACTAGTGTCTCACCTCAGCAAGCTTCTCCAGGTATTTCTCAAAGTTTCTGAGGTTTAAGTGACCGTTCTCATTCAGATAACCTAAAACAAACACGGGGACATTATTTTATATACGTGATTGACAATAAACAAGTGGGACATGAATGTTTTTCTATATTGTACTGGTTGACAATTCTAAACTATCTGGGCCAGCTGGACAAGCACAGCACATGGAACAAACAAAAAAACTGCAGATTTTGTGTATGAGAGGCTTTCAAATTCTGAATAAATGCTCAAAAAATACATCCCTGCTGCATCAGTTCTTTTTCTGGGGGGGGACTTTGTCACATGATAAAGTTGGAGCCGCCAGAACCAGGCTCAGGGTAATTCTGCCAGCTTCACGTTTAAAAGGTTTCTTCCTGTTCAAAGGGAGTTTTTGCTTCCCACTTGGTCATAGGGGGTCAGCTGATTGTTGGGCTTTTCTCTGTATAATTGTTGGGTCTTTAGCTTACAGTATAAAGTGCACCTTGAGTCAAATGTGGTGCAATAGGCAAGGCAAGTTTATTTATATAGCACAATTCAACAGCAAGGTGATTCAAAGTGATTTAAAAATCAGTAGTTAAAATATAAGTTTTGAAATTTAAGCTTAAAAGTGTGGATTTGGTGCTTTATTCAAATGCAGCTGAGAACAGGTTCAACCTGGGTTTAAATAAACCGAGTGTTTCAGCTGATCTGAGGCTTTCTGGGAGTTTGTTCCAGATATAAGGAGCATAAAAGCTGAATGCAGCTTCTCCGTGTCTGGTTCTGACTCTGGGAACTGATAAAAGACCGGATCCAGATGACCTGAGGGATCTGGAAGGTTCATACTGGGTCAGGAGGTCATTGATGTATTTTGGTCCTAAACCATTCAGAGCTTTATAGACCAGCATCAGAACTTTAAAGTCTATCCTCTGACGGACAGGCAGCCAGTGTAAAGACCTCAGAGCTGGACTGATGTGGTCCACTCTTTTGGTCTTAGTGAGGACTCGAGCAGCAGAGTTCTGAATGAGCTGTAGTTGTCTGACTGATTTTTTAGGTAGACCTGTAAAGATGCTGTTACAGTAATCAAGCCTACTAAAGATGAATGCGTGGACTAGTTTTTCCAGGTCCTGTTGAGACATCAGATCTTTTATCCTTGAAATATTCTTGAGGTGATAGTAAGCTGACTTTGTTATTGTCTTAATGTGTTTTTCTAAGTTTAGGTCTGCATCCATCACTACACCCAAACTTCTCGCCTGGTTTGTGGTTTTTAGGTTTATAGATTGAAGTTCTCTGGTGACCTGTAATCGTTTTTCTTTGGCACCAAAGACTATTACTACTACTACTATTGTTTAGCTGGAGAAAATTGTGGCACAACATTCAATTAAATTATAGAGATACAATTTAATTGAACTCAATAGAATATACATGAATACAGCATGGTGGCTTTCTTTTTTTTTGCATTTCTGCTGTATTTCATCTTTTTTGCTGAGTGTGTTCAAAAATAAATAAATATTTTTCATGCTTTTGAAATCCAAATTTGTTTAGACTACAGTTTGTTACAGGGGACAAAGCGAAGTCCTAAAGAGTAACCCACTAAAAGGATACAGTGTATGCATCTGTCTCACCAATAGATGATTTCGTCAAATGTTGCAACACAACAAGAATGAAGAAACCTCACTGCACATGTTGCAATCCACTATAATTATTATGGAATCAAATAAGCCTAAGCTAAACACTTTAAAACATTTAAAACTGAAATGTTTGGTTCCAACAGAAATGACACTGAAAACCAAACTGAAAGAAGAAACTAAAACTAAAAACTGAGGAAAAACACAAGATACGAGTCTGGTCTTACCCCCCAGGCTTGGTAGTACACTCATGTACGTCTTGTACAGCAACGGTAGAGCGTCATGATTGATGTGAAGGTTGGGGAGGTGAGGGATGAAATCGTTTCCTACCAGGAAACCCATTAGAATCCAGTCATCTATTACTCGCTCCAGGTCATAATCGGAACCCATCTTATTCTGAAAAAAGAGGCACAAACATTTAGACGTCATACAATACAATTTAAAAAGCATATATTAAAAATGTATCATAATATGAAATCTCGCCTGGCATTTAAAAGCTGCCCACTTTAGGCACGCTTGTCTCACCTTGAGCTCAGAGAACTCGTAGTCGATATACTCTCTCATCAGAGACAAGTGAAGCAAGTGAAAAGTGGTCTCCTCTGGAGCTGTTATCCTGAAATGGAACAAAAGAGCAGGGTTCACAAAACAATGCAGCAAAACAAAGAGACAAAATAGACTGAAGAGAAGAAGAGAAGAACCTCTTCTGGGATTTCTTCCCTCCAAAGCGGACTTCCTCCCTGAGCAGAGCGAAGTTTGGCTCGTGGCTGGTCAAACCCAACATAATCTACAACACAGAGTGAAGGACAGACTGAACCTTCAGGCACTGATTTGAGCAAAATGTTCATCAACGACCTGTTTAAACGTACCAGGTCAGCATCCAGGCCGTACAGGCAGTGTCGCGTGTTGGGGTCATGATTGGGCTTGGTGTTCTCTGACCGAATAAACTCCATGATTTTGTGTTCCCCCTCCCCTGGTGTCTGTAAAGAGAAGAAACACAAACTTAATACATTCATTACTGACTCAGAAACAGTACAACAGTACATACAACAGTTACACATACACCACTCACACCCACCTCGTGACCGGACAAGTACACTTTGACATTCTCCCATAGCTTGTCATTGGAGAGCTTGTTGTGGACGAAATACTTGAGCTGTTCCTGAAGTCGCGCCATGAACTCAGTGCCTGGAAGAAGCATTTGAGATTAAAAGAACGGCTAACATTTTCAGAGACCTGTTCTCTGTATATCTCTTAAGGATCCAAGAAGAACTGAGCAACCCAAGTGTTTTCAGCTGCTCAGTTCTGCTTTCCCAAGGGGTCGCTACACCAGACAGATCTGCATATTTAATTTGACAGACTTTGAAACAGGACCCTTACAGTTAATCCAGGCTCAAGACTAACAGAAGAGGTACATAGGCTGGGTTTTGTCCTGCTTGGGTTGAAATGGGAAATCTGTCTTATATAACGCCTGATTTAAGCTTCTGCAGGGAATCTTCATAGAACCTACAAAGTAGGCTACGTAAGTTGCCAGTGTAGTTGTCGGTATGCCGTTCCACACATTTATACCCGTCCTGGTTCGTCATGTGTTAAACACAGTGTGGTAGTATCCTGATGTTTTAAACGCAGTGCCAATCGATAGAAACAAATAAGATTCTGTTTTCTCCCTCCTGGGTCTCCACTCTTTGCTTCTGGCACTTCTCTCTTTTTATCCTGGGATAAATATATTTGTCCCACAAGGTTTTCCACTTCTTTGTACATTCCCTCACATCCACTCCTTGGGAAAATATTACATCTCTGCGATGACCTATTCGCTAATGATTCTAGGTAAATACCAACGATGCGCTTTGGCTAAAATGTCAATGTTGAAAAACGAGTCACTGGATGTTTACATCTGACATGCAAACATGTTTTTAATAAAAATATCACATACAGTACACATATAAAAAACACAGGGACACAAAAATCAATTCAGGTGCTAAACTGTATCAGGTGGTTCTGATCTGTGTCTGTGTGCTGAGCATCTTTGCATGAAGCTTTAGATCTTCCTTACCAGGAGTGATGCAGTTGGAGTCGAAGCGAGCCTCTGTGGGAAGCACCTCTCCTTTATCCAAAGCTTTTTTTATCTTTTCCTCTGCTTCTTTGGCGGACCTAGACACACAAGCACACACCCACACACAAGCACACACCCACACACAAGCACACACCCACAAGTAGATATAAAAGAGAGACGGTCAAATTCAAAGTCTCAGGCTGTGTCTCTGCCTGCAGGCTGTGTTTCCCCTCCTGTCTGTAACACTGAAGCACGAAATGTTGGATTTTAGCTCAAGCCTGTTTGCTGCTCATTCTTCCTTATAAGGTAACTCACATAGGGCTCAGGTTTACAGCTGCAGCCTCAGAAACATCACATAATTATACCCAACATCTCTGAATATATCTGAGAACAGACATGACACTTTAATCAGATAACTTAGAGAGAACGTGGCATTATTTATAGTTTGGATTCAACATCAGGGTACAGGCATGCTAATAAAATTCCATCTCTTTATTTGGTCAGTTCAAGAAAAGCTACTCCCAATATCCTAAATTTAGTGATTCTCAACAAGTATTATGATAGGATTAGCATTTATTCATTTAGATTTATTCATCCATCACAACCTGAATCTACGTCCTCTCTGCTGGTTCATCTTCGCCCTTGGCGCCACACCATCCACCGCCATGAAGAAAACCTTGCGAGGCTTGATGATCCTGAAGAGCACCTCCAGGTAATGGAAGATGTCTGCAAAAATCTTTTCCTCAGAAATGCGAAAGTGGACATCCTCATCGTTTGGGTGAGAACACTGGTGGATGATGCCGTTCATGTCCAGATAGAAGTTGTCAAACTCTGGAATCTGACAAAGACAAACTGATCACATACCTAGTATTCAGGAACATGACTTATCTGTAAACGCTCACAATGACGAGATCTTTCAGGTGTGGCAGATGTTTTTAGGAGGCTGATGAGTTAAAGGAGGGTATATTTGACAGTCATAAAAACAAGATAGTAAGCTCCTTTCACCTGACACATTAAAAACAGTCTCATGAGTATGCCATCCACCTTTCATAACATCAGACCTTTATGTTTTGTTCCGTTTTATTTACACCGGTACCGACATGAAACATAATTCCCATATTTACTGTTACCAATTTTCTGCTAAACGTGGTTATTTACTGCTTTAATACAAATGCAAAGCTGTCTGAGGTAAGGAGGGTGACACTGAACAATGTGCGCTGATGAAACTACTGCTGGGGGAGTGAAATAGCGGCTTCCTTTCTGCTCAGAGTGTAGAAAGTGGTTCAAGTCCCCCCGCAGTTACTCAAGTAGCCTAAACTCTCACGTTATTCGAGCTGTGGCCAACAGGCTGAGCTCATACTTCTGACATTTCAAACAAGTTCATTGTAAAGCGCAGTTACTGTTAACCAGCTGGTAACAATAACTACCCGAGCCCCTATAGATCTCTAGTTATCATAAAAATCAGTTAGTTAGCCAACTGCAAGAGCTTATTGTTGTTTAGAATGTTCCTGACCAACAAAGGCCAAAATTACCCAGTGGTAACTCATTAACATTTTATTTGTTTAGTGCGAATAAGCGCACAATGGAGACCAAAATAGCATATTAGTGATGGAATTTGGTTAATAACGTCATGCCTATCCTGTGTTTAACAAAAGGATGAAGTGAAGAATGTGTGCTAAAAGCAGAGTTGTCCATTCGCCAGAAAACCATTGGTAAGCTACGTGGAATTTTAGTTCCGCGGCCCGCTATAGCTCTCTGATAGCGAACAGCTAGCTACGCTAGCACTGTGGCTACCAATGACAGCGGTCTGTGAAGCTAACCAGTCACCGCTGTTTTCCTACCTGATGTTCCTTGACAACTTCACTGAGACAAGGGTAGCGTTCCGAAATCCAGCGGTAAAATTTTGGCACTCCCATCTTCACCACAAACCTCTTCAGCCTCTAGGTCAAAACAGTAAACAGCAAAAACTGGATGGAGGTGTTCGCCTATGTGAGGAACTACAATGTAGCTAGGGTTTAACCTGGTTACATGAGAACTTGCTTTAGACTCAGGTTTTGTTTCCAACGGCTGCTGAGTAGCTGGTTGTCCGTTGTCCGCCGGAAAAATCGTTCCGCCGCTTCTCGAGAAAACATTTGTTCCGTTTTTTGTAATTTTTTTGTGTTTGTTTACTTGCTTTCTTTTTGACATCTCATAAGTACATAGTACAAAGTAATGCATATTTCTACGTAGAAAATATTTAAAATAAATAAGCCAAAACATTTTTACAAAATGTTGTATTAAACGTAAATTTGTTGTTTGCTAGAAAATAACTTTGCAATAAATGTTATATAATATTTATTACAAAAGTGAGTAAATGGTTGTTTTTTGTTTTTTATAGAGGTTGAATTACCCCAAAACATCAAGTTTTTGAAAACAGCCTACTTAACATCTGAATCCAGAAATATCAGGAATCTTATACAATTTCCAAGATAACTAAGGGTGCCTATATTAAATATGAACTCCCAAGGCTGGGAAGTAGGAACAGTGTGTGCTGTGTCATTCTGAATCTAATAGGAACTGAAAAATCAGATCAACTGATATGAAAGAAAGAACACACTGTTACAGGGCCCGTCTGGCTTGCAAGGCCCACTGCAAAGCCTGAAATGAAGAACTAGTTTCCCCTCAGCAAGACAGTTCCACATTTCCACCTAATGTACAACTTTGCCTTTTCTATGATGCTGAATATAACTTTCATAAGGTTTGCAGAGGTAGATTAGACCTACTTGAAATTTGTTTACTCAAAACCTCAAATCTGAATGCATGCTGCCCAAACTGAGCAGTCAGTTTTTGAGTTTTAACAGAAAAACGCAGGCCAGCACAGTATACACTATACGAAACCATGAAATCTGAACAGACAGTCCCACCTGATGGCTGTAGCTCAGGAGGTAGAGAGGGTCAACTATTAATTGGAAGGCTGGTGGTTCAATCTCTGGCTGCATCCTTGGGCAAAATACTAACCCCAAGGTGCATGTAAATTTGACATAGAATGAAGTATTTGTATGAATGAGGCATGTTGTACAAAACACTTTGAGTGATCAGAATAGAAAAAGTGCTATATAAGAACCAGTCTATTTACCCGAACCTCTTTGAAACAGCTTTTTTCTTTTGTTGCCCTAATTTATTAAAAAAAAAGATGCAAAGCCCCATGCTGTAAATGCTTATTTTATAGGACACCAAAGAGAGCGCAATTTTTCAAGGGAATTTAAACAAGAGTTTAAGGGTGCCATTGCATCGATGGCATCTGGAGGAGGACTATAAGTGTCCTGAGTCCCAGCACTGACTGAAAAAGCACCTTGTCCATAACCAAGAACGTTTCTTGCAATTCCGATCAACTAACCCATCACAGTTTTATACACAGATCACCTAAAAGAATACAATTATGTCATCATATGGAGAGAGAGAAAAAAAGAACCAACATGCCAAGTGTTTCGAAATAATTTATTCAGTAATACAAATACAAAACACCTCTCTCACTTATCATAAAATAGGCAGGTCTTGCTCCACAGAAACTGACAGCAGTTTGCCTGAAGTTACAATGCAGCTCAGCTCAGATGATACCTACAGTATGTGAAGAACGATTCCATTGCTACTTTAAAAGAACAGATTCTGCAAGGTTTTATTTCCAACAAGCAACCAATAGTTCACCCAAAAAAAAAAAAAAAAAGTCCAGTTCTGCACGACACTGCAGACCAGTGCCGGAAGTTACATGAGAGTTGTGACTGCAGACAAAAGCTTTGAGTTTCGTTTTGTTCTGACGGTAAACAGAAATATCAGCACAGAGAGGCGCTTCTCATTTCAGTTCACTCAACTTCTCACGTTCTGCACTCGCAAACCAGAAAAGAAACCAGTGATACGTCTGACAGGATGGAAGTCAGGTTTATTAAAAATGTTTTTCCCCCCAAATCTGAGAGAACGCAAAAGCTACACAAAAAAGAAAGGTGCAGGGGGCTGGACACTGACAAACAAAAGGAGATTTAAAAGCTTCATTTGAAGATTTTTGCATGTCACTTCGTCTTGTGCTTTGGCCTTTAAAAGGAGGAAATGCATCGCACTTTTAGCGTTTGGCTGGATGTATTCCGGAGAACAGCAGCTTAATTAAAAAGTAAAGGTTTTGATTTGACCTAAAACCATAAAGAGGTGTTCTATTGTAGCCAATAAAACCTCGCTCAAAAGAAACAAAACTGCTTTCTAAAGTCTCTTGTTTCACTTTGTGCCCAATAAAACAGCAGCACATCTTCTCCTGCTGGTCCATAGTCTTTGCCGCTGTCCAAAAACATAAGCTCATAAAAAAAAGTAAAGAAAAAGAGGAAAAAAATAATAAGAGACAATTTCAGATCTCCAGTTGCTACTCAGCCTGGCAGCCTCCCTGCATCACGAGTCAAAGCTCCAACACCTGCTGAAGGAACTGCACGTCTTCAGACGAGCTCGAGTACCTGTGCAGAGAGAACGCACACCTGTGACCTCTTGTTGTTACGGGAAAAAGCAATGAATTAAAGCTCCTCTCCAACAGCTAAATAATAATAAAACGACAAAAGGCAGAAACCACAAAAATAATTAACATATAGCAGTTGGACTGTATAACGAGGCATTTTTAAAGTTCACCCAGACTAGCGTGGCACATCACTAATGCAGAGCTGAAATCACTGCTACCACACTGCACAGCTCATCAAAATATTACAAAAATAATTTCTTTAGATACATTTTGTGTGTGTACTTTGATTCCAAACAGAAGCCAGTGAGGTGACATTTGCACTTCAAGAGTGGAAGATTAAACACGATTACACAGCAGACAAGCAGGCTTGAATTGGACCAGATGCACAAGGATTTATCTTTATTTGTGAGCGTGTTTAAACAGTTATTCCTAATTCATCCTGGGATATTGCCAGGAATGTGTCTTATGGAGAATCTTAAAGAAATTTGACATTTCTGGTCAAATTGTGAGTGAGCGTCTACAGCCATCTGCAGAGCACAAAATGAATGCAACAATGAACACAGCAAAATACGACAATATAAACACCAGATCTATATATCCAATCGGATATTTTGTTTTATTCATGTCTTATTAGTGTTTGGCTTCACACTTTTGTATCCTGATCGCGCTCTTACAAAAGTTTTTTTCTTCAGACGGCCTCATTAAAATACCAGAAATGAGTCAACTAAAAGGACAGAACATGATTACAATGTCATGTTTTCAAACAAAGGTCCAGTACCCTCTATGACACCAGTCTGAGTGCTGCAGTAGGCCTGTGCTTGTTGGCCTGTTTTGTACAGATGATACAAACCTTAATTGTTCCTTGACTGTTGGCAGCGATTAATACATTTGACTCCTGAAAAACAAAAGGTAACACTTAGAGCACAGATAGTTAATTAGATTAATACTCAACACAATATTCTGTGTGATCTGAAAACAACAATCCTTTGCAAGAAAGTGTGAGAAACTCCAGATGTATTCTTTCTCAGAGTGTCAGGATTTTAAGGTGTGACTGACACCGTCTCAGTTCTATGACCGCAAACTATGGGTGTGGTGTCCCAACAAAGCAGGCTCTTTGGGTTAGCTGGCTCAACAAAACCTACAACTACACTCACAGATGAAGGCGGGGCAGGGGTAGGCAACTCCAGGCCTCGAGGGCCGGTGTCCTGCAGGTTTTAGATGTGTCCTTGATCCAACACAGCTGGTTTAAATGGCTAAATGACCTCCTCAACATGTCTTGAAGTCCTCCAGAGACCTGGTAATGAACTAATCATTTGATTCAGGTGTGTTGACCCAGGGTGAGATCTAAAACCTGCAGGACGCCGGCCTTCAAAGGCCTGGAGTTGCCCACCCCTGGCCTAAGGGTACAACCCCCAACTAGGTTTTGCAACCTTTGGTTTTAGAACTGAAGAAGGCTCTTGGACGAGAGGTGAAATGTCTTCAAAACCTTAAAAAAAGACCAGTCGCCTTCTCATTTCAAGCTCCTAGGACATTTGTTACCATGGTGATCTAACTAAGGAAAAAGAAAGCCACCTTTTTACCTGACTTGACAGACCTCACTAACCCATTAATATCGCTTTGTAGTGCACCCTTCAAAGTGCAGTCAATGACAATGTTACTGAGTATAGAGGTGAGCTCACTCCATCAGGCAGGGCCCTCCAGCAGACAGCACTGACAAACTCGTTGGTGTCGTCCTCCTTCTTATCCTTGTCCAGAACGCTCTTCACTGTGTCAAACTTGAATGTTAACAGTGTCTTGGAAAGTCCTTTGTAGTACAGATACAGGGAGTTGTTCTCACTGCCTGTACACACACACACACACACACACACACACACAAGTATTTATGGAATTTAAGCATGTTATCGTTTCTCCCACTGAGGGAGTGATACAACACAGACAATTTGTCTTCTTTGAAGTAACTGCTCACCACAGGCAACGTAGTCTCCGTTTGAGGCCAGGCCCACAAAGTTCTTCTCGTTGATGTGACCCTTGAAGGAGCGCAGGCAGTGAGGTTTGTTGACATTCCACAGCTTCAGCTGACTGTCCGTCGAACTGAGGACAATAGTGCAGAAAGAAATGATCAATATGGAACCGGTGGGCCTTAGATGATATGGCGTGATAACCCACTGGGGCCAAGTCCAGCATTTTCATTTTATCAGGATTCAAGGATCAGGATTTCTACTCTGTGTGTAGAAAGATTCTCCATTGTTCGGCAGCGGTGCTCGTTTCAGTAATTACGCAAATGTCATTTTTATCACTTGTTTCTTAAATCCAGCTTCACAGACAGAGTTACATCCATGTCAGTTTTTGAGGGCTCCACGATGTAAATTAGTCTTTATACATTTAGTGTTTCATGCTCTCTTTAACCCAGTTTACATTAGACAGCTTCTTTATGATATTATAAGCAGAAAGTACACCGTAACAGGTTTTACAGAATATTTTCCTTTGCAGGAAAAAGAAACCTTTCAGATATTAAATGGAAATGCAAAGCCGACAGATGTACTTACGCAGAAACAATTTCCTCTCCGTTGACGAACTTGGCATAGGAGACGGCCTTCCTGTGGCCTTTGAACACCATGATTGGCTGCTT